AGAAAGCAATTAGGAAAATGATTTCATTCATAATAGCTTCAAAAAGATAAATCTTAGAGATCAATTTAGCCAAAGAGGTGAAAGACCTTTACAGTGAAAATTTCAGAGCACTGAACAAAGAAATTAAAGGAGAAATCAGAAGATCAGAAGACCTAGCATGTTCACAGATCAGCAAAACCAACACTGTCAAATGACCACATGACCAAAAGTGATCTGCACACTCAATGCAATCTCCACCAAGTAGCAATAATACTGTTCACAGAACAGTGGCAATAACAACAACAAAATCCTGAAATTCGTATGAAGTATTAAAGACCCAGGACAGCTAATTCAGTCCTAAGTCAAAAGAACAAGACTGGCAGCGTCGCAACACCAAATTTCAAATTGTACTGCACAGCCATAGTAACCAGCACAGCACGGTACTAGCACAAAAACACGTATGTAGACCAGTGGAAGGGAGTAGGGGGCACAGAACAACCCCTACAGCTTCAACCATCTGATCCTGGGCAAAGAAGCCAAAATCACACACTGGAGAAAAGGCAGCCTCTTCACCAAACAGTGCTGCAAAAACTGGGTACGTGCCTGTGCACAACTGAAGCCAGGTACCTGCCTTCCACCCACGAAAAAGCCATTCCAAATGGATCAAAGAGCTAAGCGTAGCACCTGAAACTTGGAAACTGCTGGGAAAGAGGTGAAAAATGCTGGAAGCCATAGGCACAGGCAAAGACTGTCTGCCTGAGTTTCCGATAGCACAGGAAACAAAAGCAAGAATCAATAAACAGGATTGCGTCCAACTTTCAAGTTTCTACACAGCAATGGAAACAACTAAATGAAGAGACAGTCTGCTGAATGAGAGAAACTCTTTACCAGCTACTCTAACATAGGATTAATGTGGAGAATGCATAAAGAACTCAAATCTTAATACCAAATCTCAAATAGCCTGAACAATAAATGGGTAAATGAATTAATTAGACACTTCCTAAAGAAGGACTACAAATAGCCAATAAGTATATGAAAAAATATTCACCATCTTTAGCCATTATGGAAAAACAGATCAAAACTACTCTGCGATTTCATCTTATCCAGCCAAAACGGTAATCTTCAAGAACATAAAAAACAATAAATGCTAGTGAGGATTCGGGGATTGAGGGAAGGAGGAATCCTGGTACACCACTCGCAGGAATGGAAATCAGCATGGAGTTTCCCCAGAAAAGCTAACACTAGAGCCGCCATTTGATCCAGTCATACCTTTCCTCTGTACCTGAAGCAAGTAAAGCTGGCATACCTGCGTTTCCAAACTCACTGTGGCACCATTCCCAAGACCTAGACGCCCATCCACGAAGGAATGGAAACGCTATCTATGTACCAGTGGAGCACTACTTGGCCTCAAAGAAGAACAAATTTCTGTCATCTGCAAGAAAATGGGTGAATTTAGAGACCAGCATGTTAAGCAAAATAAGTGAGACTCAGAAAGACCAACGATGTGTGCTCTCCCTAACATGTGGAATCCAGAAAGCAGGAGAGGGACTATTAGTGGAAAAGAGAGAGAAAGGTGTCTAAGGGCAGGTCATAAACATGAGCAAAATACATTTCATACACTAAAAGCCCAAAAAGTGTGAAACAAGGGGGCAGAGATAGACAGGACGAAAATGAAGTATACTACATAAATGTAGGAAGCTACCAAAATGCAATGCAGTGATCTGTATTATCAACTATAAAAAGTGAAAAAAGAATACAGAAAGCATGAATGATACAATGTAAAATCAATTAATAAATGTGATCTAATTTGTATATATGAAGCAACTATTTGTAATCATTCACACATAAATAATGAAAAGCAATTCCATAAAATAAATAAATGTAACAGAATTTCAGTTAACGGATGAAGGTATCTTAAGCATTAGAGAAAAAACACCTACGAAAGCAGATTCTAAAAAAGAATAGGAAGAGGAAATATGCTATAAAGACACTGCAATTAAATCTATATGGGCAATGAGTATCAGAATCGATAAACTGATCATGGTGTAGGACAGAATCCAGAATTAAAATCCAGCTTATATGAAATTTTATAATTTCCTGTAATTTACAGACAAAAATCTATTTATATTCAATGAGGAAAAAAGTGGTTATTTAATAAATGGTGCTGGCCCAACTGGCTGTCCATCTGGCAGAAAATAGTTCCCTATCTCATATTAAAAACAAATTTTAGATGGAATAAATGATTAAATGTAATAAATAAACCATCAAAAGCTGGAAGAAAACCTAAGAGACAATAGTGTTCCTTAACCAGAAAGAAAAGACAGCCATATTGAAGTTTACAATAATTAAAGACCATTTACATTGTAAAAGCTATCATAAATATTAACAGGCTAATGCTAGGCTTGGAGAAACATTTTCAAGCGAAATCACAGCTAACTGGGGAATACTAAAAGAGCCCTCGGTCCTGGCACAGAAGGTGAAAGGGCGTGACAGACGGGAAGGGCCACTGAGCCGCAGCCTCGAGCATGCTCTGATGGCTGAGCCTGGGAGCAGCACCAAGTGCAGTGAGCTGAGGACTGCTCTACCGCCAATCAGATGAAAAGAAAAATCGAGCACCATGAAGCCCACGCCAACAGGATGAAGGGCAACAACATGAGCTGTTTACCGCTGTTTCGGAGAGCAGTCAGACAAATGGTTTTACATGAAAAACACACAACAAACAAACCATACTCCTGGGAACCAATCCCACAAAAATAAAACCACCAATAAAATGTTCACTGCAGCACTGCTTGCACTGTGAAAAATAAGAAACAAAACATGAGTTCCCAGTAATAAGATCATAAATAATACTCCTATACTGTGCCGTATTAAACAGCTATTAAATAGAACGAGTCCAAGCTAACCATCTGCCTCCACCAAAACCCTGAAAGGACAGTCTGGGTGCCTACGTGTGACTGGGAGGCTGTGAAGACCTGCGTGGAGGGCACCCACTGGCCAGCTTGCTGCACCACACAACCTGCAGCAGGGAGAGGGGTGTGAAAATGGGGTTAAAAAGAAGAAAGAAGAGGGCCGGCAAGACAGCTCAGCAGACTAAGCACTGCTTAGGCAAGTGCAGGGACCAGGGCTTGATCCCCAGCACCACATACCATGCCAGCCCTACCCCCAGGGATGCTGAGCCAACTACCAAGTCTGGGCATGGTGGTGCACGCCTGTCATCCCAGCGCTGGGGAGTCTGAAAACAGGAGGATCCCTATGTCTGAGCTGCATCATGAGACCCTGCACCAAATGCAGAACAAATAAAAGAAGAAAGGAGAACAAATGGTTCCATGTATGCTAAGCAGCTTGATCAAGCCCCGCCACAATGAGAGGTAAGGGCATGAGCTTCCTCCCCACTGAGCACCCGTGCTCGGCCCACTGCACAACTGCTGGGCATCTCCCGTCCGCTGAGCCATCAGCTCTGTACAGTCTCTCAACCAGCTGTGCATCTGTGACAACCCCACTGAAACACAGCTTTCTGTTAGCTGACAACCCACACGTTAGAAAACTATCCTACTTATCACAATGGGATGTGCTTTAATACATAAAGGCAAGAGCAATAAATTAGAAAAAATAAGAGGTTGGTAACATGTATTTACTAAGTGTTGGAATGTCCATAAAGCAAAACACAAGTTACAGAAAAATATGCATAAAGTTTTCCACTTTGGTAACAACTTCCAACCTTAATTATAAATGTACACTTAAGCACATTTTCTAGTAAAAGTGAAAGCTGTTGTCCAACCCATTATTACAAATTGCATAAAGAGGAAGGACATAAAAGAGGCAAGTACTCACTCTGCCTTACAGTTCGCAGTGGTTCATTACTTCTCTCACAATAATAGTAATAAGTAACAAGTACTACTTGAAACTTGAAAATATTAAGCAATGAAAACAAAGATAATCTATGAACAATAAAATCAAATAAACTGGAAATTATTTAGTACCTACCTCACAGGATCTACTGTAAAGATGAAACCACATAATTCATGTAAAGTGCTTGGCATATTCTCCAATATGTTGTGAGAGCTCAACCAATTTCAGCTATTTTTATTATTAAAAGACTCCAGAGAGTAACAAAAATTATGAGGCTGAAAACAATGACATCTATACACAGAGCATTATTCTTCATATTACTGAACACTTTTTCATTGAGGATTGCAAGGACTCATTATGACAGCCATACAGCTTACTAAATATACCTTCATTGACAGCAAAACTAAAATTACAATTTAAAAAAATGAGGTACTTACAGCCAGGTGTGGAGGCGAGCAGTGCACGACTGCAACTCTACCACCTGGGAGGCTGAGGTAAGAGGGTCACCATGAATTGGAGGCCAGCCTGAGCTACATGGTGAGTTCAAAGCCAGCCTGAACTACAAAGTGAAGCCTGTCTCAAAAAAAGAAAAAGGCTCTAATACAAGTTAAAAAGATACTGCAGGTAGGCGTGGTAGTGCATGCCTGCAGTTCCACACTTGGGAAGCTGAGGCAGGAGGATGGCTACAAGTTTAAGGCCAGCCTGAACTACAAAGTGAGTTCAAGGGTAGACTGAACTGCATAGCAAACTCTGTCTCAAAAAAGGAGGAGCAGGAGGAGCAAGAGGAGGAGGAGGCCGCAATCTTTTGCCTTGAAGTTTACTTTAAGAACTTCAGGAACCATCCTTAGACACAATGCCTCTGTCCCAACTTCAAATGAGAAATCCTTGGGTCCTCACCAATTCCTGCATTGGAGGGACTTAGAAGACAAATTCAAACAGACCAGGGAGGGATGCGATAGCACTTTTCTGAGACGTACCCACGGCAGAAAGCCATTCCTCCAGTACAGTGAAATTCAAGCCTTAATTGTGGCTTTCTTTACTAGCTTGCCTAAAAATACATGCTCAGTTTTGATCTATAAGCTGAATTTGGCCCAGGAGCACCATTGTTAACATCCAAGGAAACATTAAAAGAGCTGCAGAAATGCCATGCGCAGCCAGCATCGCCTACTCACATGGCCTCCACCTTCTCTTCCGGGCCTTGCACCTGGCCTGTCACGGTGCCTCTGCTGGTGTTCTTCACCCAGCCAACGACTCCTATTTTCTTAGCTTCCCCTTCCGTGTACTGGTTCCCAGAGAAAACACAAGAGAAGAAGTCCGTCACCCATAAACTGAACTCACCACATGCCTGATCTAACATTCAAAAACTGCTAACCTGCTCACTCATTCTATTATGCCAAATTTGTGTAGCTCACCTGCAGCAACACCTCTGTTTATAAGAGCTTGCACTTACCTAGTATGTTTTATTAATGTCTCCTTTCAATAAATAAACACATAGTGGGGGCCTACACCAAAACCCTAGAAGTACAGGGTTTAATTTGAATCAATTTCTGTGGTGGTGTTGTGGAGTCCACAAAATCCGGCTACGCTGCCCTTACAGCTGTTCACACCAAATTATTGTTGATCTGAATTCCAAATGATCATCAAGTCAAGTCTCAATCACTATGATCGACATAAAGTATTCATAGGCAGAAAAAAAAAATCTAAAACATTTCAAAATTTCTAACAAAACTGAGGAAAAATAATTTTAATAAGAAAATTAAACTTGGAAAAAACACCAGCCAGGGCTGGCCAGATAGCTCAGCAGACTAAAGCACCTGCTTAGGAAGGCCCAGGGACCAGGGCTCAGTCCCTGGTGCGCCTTGCCAGCCCTGCCCCCAGGATGCAGTGAGACACACCTAGACTGGATGCGGTGGTGCATGCTGTAATCCCAGCACTGGGAGGCTGGAAACAGGAGGATTACTATGAGTCTGATCTGTATAGTAAGACCCTGTGGACCCTGTACTAAATACATGGGAAAAAAAAAAGCACTAGCCTAGATGTGCTGACTTTGCATTAGGTTAAAAGATTCTTATTTTTCTTGTTGGCTCTAAACTTGTCAAAAAACTGGTGTAACTAAAGCGGGTGGTGTAGCTCAAAACAAGCTCAGTATAAGGCCCTGGTTTGGACTTCCAGCCTTCTGAAGTGTCGGGGGCACAAATGCTATAATTCTTCAGGGTAAATCTGTCTCTCCCAGCACTCTTTAAAAAGAAATCAAAGAGAATGCAAAACAGTAATAAAATATTAGAAATGCTACAGTTTCGCTAAAAGGAACCATAAGAATTGGACAGTATTTCTTGTATTGCACGGTACGGTCTTCAGCTTAGCTGTTCACATTACCAGATACACGCATGCAAAACTGGAAGAAAAAAAGTTATAAAAAGTGAGAAGAGAAAAAGAGGGGAAAAAATTAAAAAGACAAAAAAAAAAAAAAAAAAAAAGAATTCAGCATTAACTGCTCCTTTCCGTAGACCAGCAGAAGCCCGCAGCACAACCACCCAAGCCACCTGCTTCCGCACACAGACGTATCTCCTCCCCAACCTCCCCTCCTGCCTTTCTCCTCAGTGAGTCCTTGCAGGTTCATTCCCTTTGGATAGCCTCTACTCTACTCTTCAGATTTTATTTACTCTTTCAGGTTCTGATACTAGGGAGACAATAGGATTGTTGTTGTTGTTTTTAATCTTATACTTACTTATTTGGTACAGGGTCTCACTATATAGCTTAGACTTGTAATGATCTCCCTGTCTCGGCCTCCACAGCGCTGGGATTACAGGCATGTGCCACAATGCCCAGTCTGGATGGCAAGCTTGGCCCACCTGCAGTCCTGAAGGCAGTGCAGCATACGGTACTAGGGATCGAACTCAGGTCCTTGCGCTTGCTTGGCAGGCACTTAGACCGCCGAGCTATCTCCCTATCCCAACAATATGATGTTTGCATGTGTGGGTCTGATTGATTTTATTTAAGAGTATGCTCTCTAGTTGCATCCATTTACCAATAAAAACCTCAAATTTATCCTTTTTCAGAATCTTTAAAAATTCTAATAGTGTATGCTTGTGATAGGTAACACACTGATGTAAGGTCTTCATACACATATATGTCTTGCTCCTTTTAAAATTTCTTTTTCCGTTTCAAATTGAGCTTTCTTCCAGAAAATGAAAAAATAAGCAGCATTTTTATTTTGAAGTATTATAACCATACCATACTAAAACTTTGTGGATTCAGTCCACCAGAGCTTTTTAAAAACACCTTCTTTTCCGGGCATGGTGGCACATGCCTGTATTCCCAGCTACTCAGAAGGCCAAAGCAGGAGGACCATAAATTCAAGGTCAACCTGATCAATTTAGTGAGACCCTGTTTCAAAATTTAAAAACCAAAGAATTAAAAAGGGCCAGAACGTGACTCCGTGGGGCACCACCCTAGTGTGGCCGCAGCACTGCTGTGAGAGCCACAGACCTGTCCTTTCTATCTAGGGCATCTGCAGGAGCCCCGCAGCCTCACACTGCGTTTCTCCCTGGGCTGCCCCTCTCCTTCGCATGCACCAGGGCTGAGGCTGTTACTGGCACAAGAGACGCAGGCTGGGACACAGAACACCTTGCCTGGGATGTTCCATTTCCTGTGTTCCTTTAGCAACCCCGCTGTCACCTCACGCCACCTGGACTAGCCCGTGGGGATGGACTGCAAACCTTCAACCCAACCTGTAAGGTCAGCTGCTTCTCACCCTTAAGAGAAAGGGAGCCTGCGGCCGCCCTTCTACACTTTCTGCCTCACTGTAGGGTGCAACGGGTTCTTCAGTACATGTAAACTTGCCCTGTGGCGATTTCTCAGTGTCTGAGCGCTTCACTCTATTTCTGCACCATTAAGTTGAGTCAACACTAGCTGGGGATATAAGCTCAGCGGCCTAAGCACCTGCCTGGCAAGCGCAAAGTCCAGAGTTCAATCCCTGGTACTGGAAAAAAAAAATTTAGTCAACATTATCAAAAAATGAAAAAGAGGGCCTGCTGTACCAACCCTGCCCCTGAGGCGCACTGAGACAGCAACTGAGACTGGACGTGGTGGTGCATGCCTGCAATCCCAGCTCTTGGGAGGCTGTAAACAGGTGGATCACTATGAGTCCGATCTAGTAGTGAGACCCTGAACACCTTGTAGACCCTTCCCTAAAATGCAAAAAAAAAAAAAAGAAAGAAAGAAAAAAGAAAAAAGAAAAAGAACACAGCCTGTGCTTGAAGGCCAGAGTGGCCAGGATCACTGCCGCTTGACATTCCTATCGAAGGAGGTAGCACAAACCAGAACAGGTACAGCTACGACAGACACAGAGTTGGCTCTGGAAATAAGTCATCTTTTTTTTTTTTTTTCCTTTGGTGGAACCGGGGATTGAACTCAGGCCCTTGAGCTTGCCAGGGAAGCGCTTATTCTGCTGAGCCATCTCCCCGGCCCCCTGGAAATAAGTCAAGATAATAAAGAAAGAGGAGGCCCTCTGAGCTGTGGAGGTGGGACACCACTACCTCAGAATGTACTTTTTGGTGAGAACATGTTGGAGCTCTCCAGAGCTCAGGACCCAGACAGCTACTCTGCTGGTCCTCAGGTGAGACAGGAGGTGAAACAATAAGCTAGAATTAATCTTTAAAAAGTGTTTAAAAAGTGTGAAAGAGTGCTTTTAAAAATAAAAAGTTAAGATAAACAATGAAAAAAAAATTTAAATGAAAGAAGGAACTTGAATCACTAAGTCAGGGAGCAACTTCCATGTAGAACACTAACATTGCAGCCCAAAGGTACTCCCTTGCAGAAGGCTTTCTCCACGCAGGACGTGTGGGTGGTCCCATGCTTTCTGTAATACGACTGCATCAAAGTGCCTAACCTGAACGACCCAGAGGTATTTTGGGAAACTGTGGGGCATAGGAGCACATGCCTGGACTCCCAGTCCCCTGAAGACCCTGTCTCCAATATATGTAAACTCAAAACTAGGAAGGCAGTAGTGTGTTTAGGAGGCTATTTTTTAAAGGTAGCTGAAATTAAAATTGCAATCAGTAATTTGAAAAACGTCATATAAATATATTTAAAGACAGAAAATAAGTAGTAAAGTACCACTATGCAGCAAATTGCTTATCTTACGGTTAGAAAATGCCAAGAAGAAGTAAACAGATTCTAAAGACTTACCATTCTGAAGCAAACACCTGCATGAGAAAAAGGAGAAAAAGAAACGTCAGTTTATCTTTTTAAAAACCTATATATTTCCACTCTCAACTCTCATGTGCTTACTAAAGAGTTATTAAATGAAATGAACAAAATCTTCACTACCTAAATGAACTCAAAGGGTGTTCTTCAAATTATTTTCTTTTAAAATAGATTATTTGGGGCCACGGAGATGGCTCAGTGGAATAAGCGCTTCTCTGGCAAGCGCAAGGTAAGTTCAATACCCAGTTCCACAAAAAAAAAAAAAAAAAAAGACTGGTAGTTGTCAGAGCCTGGGAGAAGAGAAAGTTCCAGAAAAAGAGCATGAGGGAGCTTTGGGGGAGGATGTGGCTGTTCTCTATCTCAACTATGGTGGTGGCTACAGAATACAAATCATGCCTGGGTTGAAAAAGTGAAAAATTAATTGGGAAGTCACAGGACATAGCTCAAGCCGCCTCTGAAAAGGCCAAAAGACACCACGTCCATGCCTAGCAGCGTCCATGCCCAGCAGCTGACCCTGGTAAGGGGATGGGGAAGATCAGTCGCTTAGAGAGCCTTACAGCTTTGCAAGCAGATTCGTAATGTTTCCTGGTGGCATTATACTGTACTGTCAGATGAAGGTGAAGAAAGAGAGCAATCAAGCCATACAGACAGGACAGTGTCCCAGCTGGGGTTTTTATAGGTCTGTAAGGACATTTCTAAAGATACGTGCAAATGTGGAGGGATGATGAGTGCAAAGTGCTGATCTTTAGTGAATCAGAGAGGCAATCTGAGGGCCGGCCAAATAGCTCAGCGGCCTGAAGCACCTGCAAGCAGGCCCAGCGGCCAGCCGGGGTTTAATCCCTGGACCTACCGTGTCGGCCCCGCCCCCAGGGTACGCTGAGAAAGCAATAGAGACAGGGTGTGGCGACACAGGCCTGTAATCCCAGCTCTTGGAAGGCTGTAAACAGGTTGATCACTATGAGTCCGATCTAGTAGTGAGACCCTGAACACCCTGCAAACCTTTCCCTAAAATACCAAAAAAAAAAAAAAAGGCAATCTGCTACAGATGAAGGAAACAATATTAGTAGATACAAAGAGAATCAGTAGAAGACTCAAGAAACTTCAGGCCACGTAAACCATGTAGAAGAAACAAAATAGGTGAGAAAATAGGCAGAACTATGCAGACAACAGTGGGAAGTCTTTTTATCATACGAGTAAAGGGGTCCCAGAACACAGTAAGACCCTGACCAAGAAAGTAGATTGAGTTGCGGTCAAGTGTGTGTTGCACACATTCTTGAGTTTCTCAACAGCTAACAACCCCACACGTTAACATTATGAAAAGAGAACGACATTAGCCAAAGCCAGAAAACCTTGGAAACACATGGTCTCTCCCTCCTAGAGTGGTGCGTTAACCGCAGCAGCTAAGGGCTCTTTCTCAAGCTCAAATTCCCTGACCGCTCCTCAACCTCCAGAAGTGGAAATTCCATGGGTAGAGGCTGTAAGTCTGTTTACATGCTCTCCCAGTGATTCTTAAACCCACTGAAGTTTAGAATCAGTGGCTGGCTCTACCTTGAAGGAAAACGTAGGTGAGATCTGAAAAGGGTTATTTCAGGCTAGAGTTTGCATCATAGACTAGGGCTGTGGCTCATGGCTCAGAGGTAGAGCATGCCTAACATGCGGGAGGTTCCACAGTCAATTCCCAGCTTCGCCAAAAGTTGCATCACAAAGAGGCAAACTAAAAGCATGAAGTAGCGAGCACCTGGCTGTCTGACGCACTTCCCACAGACATGGCTAAGGTGACTGTGGTAGCAAACCATGCGCTTGCATATCAACGTTGCCTCACCTATTTACAAGTCAGCAGTGCTACCCGAAAGAAACCAGGGGTGCTGCAGAGGCAAGCCCTTCTCTCCTGCACCTACCCGAGCCTGCTGTTGGAGCTTCTTACACTGCCTGGCACTTACACGCTCCCCACACCCTTGGGCCACTAGCACTCAGGGAGGGGAGGTGACACCTCACCTCATGCCCAGTGAAGAACAACACTTAGGAATCCCAGGAGCCCTCAGCTATCTATCCACTGAGGGCAAGAAGGGCCTCAGGCTTAAAGTGAATGAGCTTAAGCAATTTTTATAACAGGTGCTGAACACACGTAGGGCACTAACTGCAGGTCACAGGGGTAAGGAAGGTATCTACAATCTACTGATGGAGATTCTCTGTTCACACAATATAATCTAAGAATTACAAAGCTCAGATATTTTCAAGACATATCTTTAAGGGCTTAGGAGAGCGCTCAGTGGAGAATGTTTGCCTAACCTGTATGAGGCTTTAGTTTGATTCCATCACTACAAAAGAAATGTCTAATTCTAAATGCAAAGGATGTGTTTGACGAAAAGTAGACCTTAGAGTTGAGACTTCAGTCATGAGCAGAAATTAGAGTGCTAAGGTAATAGCATTCCAGGCGGAAGAGCTGTGTGAAGACCCAAGGTTGGGACTGGGGGACAGTTACATGCCACATGGTTACATATTCAAAATCAAGAATTCTCTCATGTTCAAAAGTATTTATCATCCCCAAATTTCACTGATGACTTACTGAAAAAGTCGATCTGCTCCTTTTCTAGAATGGGTAGAATGCTTTTACAACTAAAGCTTCCATAATCATTCGACTAATATACTGCAAGAACCCCCTCAACTGGCCCTCCTGTCCTTCACCCCCCTCCCCCGCCAACAGCACACTCTGCACAAGGCAGATGCGGAAGAGGTAGAGCTGAAGGGCTTCCTCTTCCAGCTTGACTTGAGCCTTTGACAGCTCAGCCTATTAATATGGCTTTACTTTTTATATTTTGTTTTTATACTTTTCTGCTGGATGGTTAAGACCAAGATAAAGCAAGATCTACATAGATTGATTTGTTTTTAATTCATGTGTATGTTCATTTGATTTAAATTTTCAAAGTTCTAAATTTAAAAGTATTTTTAACTATGAATAGTAAGGACACACATATTTACTTTTTTAAAATCTCAAGACAGTAAAAGTGCAGTGTTCACTTAAATTCAAGTGATATAATTTCAATCTAAGTTCATATTGTTTGGTAAACTAAAGCAGGCACTTGTGCTGTTGAGCTATATCCCCAGCCCTGGTAAGCCAGATAAAATAAGTGCAACTCATTACTTCAGGCAGTGATCAGACTGAGATAAATCATCTATGAAAGATTCAACATATACTTCATACAAACTCAGCACAGATGTGTTTTATAATGTATTTCATGCACAAGTCCCTGTGGCAGATACTGTTCCCAGTGCACACAGAACCCGCCTTCCCACCAGAACTCTGGCTGTCCCTGGTGAAGGCAAAGTGCCCCCTTCTGTTTCCCAGTCTTCCTTACCCCAGGGGGGCCAATGAGCTCAAACCCTTGTCCAGGCGTCAGGAAAGGCCTCCCAGGCACCAGCTGAACCAGGGCCACTGCACTCCTGCCCTTCCTCTACTTGGAGTAGCTGTGTGGACACAGTGGGCATTACAGAAGGCAGCTTCGAGCTGCAAGGAAGGACCAAGGAGATCCCGGCCCTGGCTCTGACTTCCCAGGAGCTCTGTCATGCCTGGGTTGAGGCAGGAAGCAAGGCCAGGACTGAGGGAACAGGAGTGGGTGCTGACCTGGGGATGACAGGGCTGTTCTGGAATCAGCAGTGATGGCTGCAAAGCACCGTGAACACTAAAGATCTCTCTTTACTTAGTGTTTATGAATCGCTCCTATATTTTTTAAATGGCGTGTGCACACACACAGGCGCGTGTGCGTGCGCACGCGCGCGCACACACACACACACACACACACACAGAAATGGAATTCAGAAAACAGAACTGGGTTGTAGTCCTTCCTACCTCTATGCAGAGAACAAGGTCTAGCGCTCTTCAGTTGTGCTTACCATGTCTCTATTGTTCCAAGCCCAGAGCACTCCACAGTGCAGATCGCCTTCAAGTATTCACACAGAGCCAAGGCGCTGAGCTCTCCTTAACTTTCACAACTTCCTCCGGAGGAGAAAACTTCGCTGTCCCCCCAGGAGGCGCATCATTAGCTTGACATTCCTGGCTACCCTCTACCTGACCCCTGACTCCTCCTCAGGATGTGCAGTGACTCAGCTAATGGGTAAGCTTAGAGGGGGATGCAGGCACACCCAGGCGCTTCTTCTTTCTGCGGGAAGAAGGCAGCCATGGGGCGGGCTCATCCCTCTGTCCGCCCTGCAGCTGCTCTCCCTGCGCCTGGCTGCGTGGGTTTCTTTCTGCAGTCTAGATCATCCCAAAGTCCAGCTGCCTGCAGAATGCGCCACACCGCCAAAACTCGCTCTGCTCTTGGTCTTCCTTGCCAATAGCTCTCATAATGACAACGGATGCTATTTACTGGGCTCTAAAGCAACACCCACCCTAAATCCCGAGAAGGAATCTGTGTCCAAGGGATTCAGAGACCAGCCCATTAACTTTCTGCAGAGCAGGGAATCCTCAGGAATCAGCTGCTCACAGCTCATAGCTCTTGGAATTTACCAGCACCTCTGAGACCCCTGATCCCTCTTCTGACGCATACTGTGCAACTGAAGACATCTATAAAAAAAGAAAAGGTGAACATGGAGACAGATTTCCTGCAGTTATCAGCGCTGGCTGGAACAGGGCACTCTCAGGGCAAGGCCTGTGCTGAGGAAGACGCTTCCCTGGGCTTTCGCAGCGCCCCGTGCCTCTTCCACCTCGATTGCTAAGGAGAAAGGAAGCAGCTCCCACACGCTGCTCAGGAAACTGGGGCAGCTATCACTCCCTCCGGTTGTGAAAGGCCCCAGAGCCGAGGCTCCACCACTTGCAACTGTTCCTCTGTTTGTGGAAAGATGGATCAGTGGAAAACAGGATATTTGCTTTGCAAATATTCTTTAAATCTACAAAGAAGTGTTGATATTTAAAGACACCATATGATGAATCAAATGTCAGCATCACTTAATGTCAAGTCGGATTTCTGTCCTGTGACGCTCTCCGTCCTGGGATCTGCCTGCC